TGTGTGTGTGTGTGTGTGTGTGTGTGTGTGTGTGTGTGTGTGTGTGTGTGTGTGTGTGTGCGTGTGTTAAAGAACCAACATTCTTTGACTGAGTGCAGAAATGAAAATCATTGTACGATGAAATGAGACAGATTCATCCATTTTGGATAAAACTTGTGTGTCCATATGTGCTCAGAGTGAAAGCTGTGGATGACTATCTGCTACTGAGTTTAGCTTAAAATCTGTAAATTTAACAGAATTAGGGGAGACCGGGGACAGTAGCAACAAGGGATGGTTGCAACACATCATTTTTCTCCAAACAGAAACAAGCTAGAGTGATGACACTCACACTGTACATGCTCAGTTAGATGCCCCAACATGCAGAGAAAAAGTAAACAGATTGAAAAACTGCTCCAGGATTTATTTGAAAAAAGAAAAGTGTTTTTGAGGAACCAAAGTTTTTTTTTTTTGCTTAGCTTTATTTTTGTTACAGTTGTCACTGTTTTTGTGATCCATCTCAAACATATGTTTTAAACAAGTGATACGTACAGTATGTTGTCTTTTGACTAATATAGTTAACATCCAGATGAGCTTATTTAGCTAACACATGAGGTTTTATCATGGCTGACAGGAATGGGGACAGTTGTAACAGTTGTTGTAACTGTCCCCATACGATAAATCCATTTAAAAACAGAGCACATACAGATGATATTAAGATGTTCAAATTAAGTTTACACTTAAAAAGGTATTGGGTGTTCATGACAATTTTATAGTTTAAAACATGTTTAAGATGTATTTTCTATAGTTGTTTTCAACAATGGTTTTAAAATCTCAGTTTCTTTCAATGTAAATGTTGCATAATGTAGGCGTACAGTGACAACAGACAAAACAAAAGTTAATTGCCTCACAAATTGTTCTATTATCCTTGTCTCTAAAAGCCAACTGTATTTTATATCAATTAGAGTCTCTGACATCTGTATATAAGGTCTACTCATCAAGGCTAATCTATATTCATCATTTGATCAAAAAGAATAAATAAATAACACTGTAATGTCATTATAACTTACAGTAATTATAAAGTAAGCAATAATATAAATGTAAACATGTCCCTTCGCTGCTCAGATTCTACTGACTTTTAAGAAACATCTTAAGACATTTTTATTCAGACAGGCTTTCAGTTATGAGTGCTTTTTATTGTGTTTTAATTGTTGTTTTTATATCTGTGATCTGTTTTATTGTTTTTAATTATTTTTGCTTTCTGTGAAGCACTTTGTGTTGTTTGTGTCTGTGAAAGGTGCTATAGAAATAAAGTTTACTTACTTACTTAAACTGCAAAAACTGTCCTTCTAAACAAGTTTTAAAACCTTATATTCAGCCAAAAAGTCTTTTTGATCTTGTTTTGAGACTGATTTACTAAACAAGAACTGATTGTGTAAGAATAATAATCTTGTTTCAGAATGTGTAAGATGATTTGTCTTGTTAGGCTGAAAATTTGACTCAAATTAAGTCAAAATTTCTGCCAATGGAGTAAGAAAATTTTGCTTGTAAGATTCTAGAAATAAGAAAAAACTGAGTCAAATCAAGTATTTCAAGAATCTTACCAAGTAAAATTTTCTTACTCCATTGACAGAAAGTTTTGACTTAATTTGAGTCAAATTTTCAGACCAACAAGACAAATAATCTTACACATTCTGAAACAAGATTATTATTCTTACACAATCAGTTCTTGTTTAGTAAATCAGTCTCAAAACAAGATCAAAAAGACTTTTTGGCTGGATATAAGATTTTAAAACTTAGTAAGATGGACAGTTTTTGCAGTGTACTTACTTAATAAAACTTTTATTTACAGTGAAATAGTTTGTATTAATAATATGTTGCAACCATCCCCAATGTTACAACTATCCCCGGTCCCAGGGTCAGTTGCAACACTGACTTTTCATTGTCAAACGCAAATAGTGAAGAATGTACATACTTTAATCATCTATAAATGGTTTTAACTATTAACAGACAGTTTATTGTATTAAAATTTGGTTTGTCTAATTCAAACCATCTCTGAGTAACAGAGTCAAATGCAAAAAAGTGTTGCAACTGTCCCCAGTCTCCCCTACAATCATTTTGTAACAGTGTCTCAGTTCATGGGTTGCAGCCCACAGTCCGCGGCCCACTTAGGCCACAGTGGGCCGTAGGCCGCTGGTGTCCGCTGTGCAAACAGCTGTGAAATGAGACGGTCTCGGCTAGTGGTTCCCAAACTTTTCAGCTTTTGACCCACAAAGTAAAAGCAGCAGAGACCTGAGCCCCCAGCTGTTGTCGCTTGATAAACAAGAGCATAGTAACATTATTCATTACAATATTTTTGTCCATTTTAAGTACACTAATATTAAACAAAGGCAAAAAATGTTGTTAGTTGTCATTTTTAAATGTAATTAATTCAGAAAATATATTCAGGACTCCACCTTGATGTTTCAGGACCCCGCTGTGGGTCCCGACCCCAACTTTGGGAACCCCTGGTCTAGTCTACACAGGACATATGTGTGCGTGACCACGCACTGCCCCGTTACCAGGGTGGTACATCTTTTATCACATGCTTTCGGTTTTTTTCTTTCACGGTATGACTTTACAAAAAAATATTATTTATTATTTATGTTACGTCTAAAATAAAATAAAAAGCATTAATAATTTGGGTTAAGCCAGTATCAGTACTTGTAGCTTAAATTTTATGCAACATCTGTTCCTCCCACACTACCCTTATCATTATATGCATCTTCATTTTTTTCTTCTCATTTTACTTTTTTCTATTGTACAGCATCCTTGGGTGTCCTGAAAGGTGCTTTATAAATAAAATGCATTATTATTATTATTATTATTATTATTATTATTATTATTATTATTATTATTATTATTATT